GGGCCGCCTTTCAACTCAATAAGTGTTACAGAGGATACCAAGGATCGCAAGCTCCGGGCCGACCTCATTCAATTCGTCAGTGCTACCTGCCCTCAGCTACGCTGGAGAAACCTGGGCCTTAACAAAATCGCTAGAAAAGAGGCTTCAATCCGCTCAGGCATCAATTGAACGTCGTCTGATAGGCCTAACGCTGAGCCGTCAACGAGAACTGAGCCTGCACAATTCTGACGTCAGAGCTATGTCGAAGATTAAGGACGTTTTGGTTCACGTCAATGAAGCGAAGCACCGATTTGCTGGGCATTTGATCAGAAGAAATGATGAACATTGGAGCTCAAAAACTGCTCTATGGGTCTCTTAAGGTGGCCGTACACTGGACAACGAAGGCCCAAGACCGCGAGCAATGGAAAAGAAGTTGGGACCCGCGCAAGGCCAACCGCCGTGCTGATCAACGGGTCGTCTAAGTCTAAGTATCTAAGTAAATAATATACCTTGCAGAGAGGCGGGGACCGCTAAGGGCGCACGCATAGTCGGTCGGAAGACAGCAACGATCACAACTGTCTGACTGTCTAACCAGGGTCAACCCTATGTTGCTACAAGTAGCAACGGGGGGGGGTCGTATGAAACATTTTATGAGGGGGGGGTCGTAAAAACTTTTTGAAAAGTAGCAGCGATAGGACCGACCCTGTGTCTGCTACTAGCACAGCTCTACCGGCTACGCTCACGATGCGACACACTCACCATCGTCTGAGTTCATATTACAGAGGTACAATGGGTGTAATTGCTATTATCATCGTTTCGTTCTTCATTTTACAGAGGCATTCTTCCTAGGTAATGCGTTATCTATCAAACCATGGCCGCTGGTATAATACCGGCTATCGGAATTAACACTTCAAACGAGCCCGTCTTGACCATTGTCTCTCCGTGGAATCAACTGACAAAAAGGGTCCCATTTCTTGAGTTCTAGCCGTTTTCTTTGTGTTCTCTCCACCACTGCACGTTCAACCATCTCTGTCATAACTGCCAACGGGCGGCTACATATTTTATCGCGAAACCCGTCTTCAAGAAAAACGCTGACTTGTTCTCATTTGTCCCTGCATACGAGCATATCAAACTAGCCATCCATAGCTTCAATGAGTAAAGGGGCGGCCAAAGTCAGTACTCGATGCAGCGTAACATGTAATTTGATGGGGATCCAGGAACGAGAGATGTCAAAAAAGTGGAATGGCATCTCGCCAAGAAAGCTTGCCCACCACTTACCTTATTCAGAACTTCGTCGAAAAGTTCTTTCACAACTTCATCAATTTCACTATCAAATCTGTCCATAGTTGCAATATCGTCCAAGCGAACAGTGTAAGGTTTTCTGAAAATGAACTGATTAGAAAAATTATTGAAATCATTTTTTGGAATCATCACAATCTCTCAAATTATTAACGCATCCATACCGTTCTTTTCCTTGTGGAGGAACTTCAAACCCTTTCAATGAAAGTATGGCGCCCGAACCCGGCGAATATGAGAAGGAACTCATGTGGATTCCTGGAACTATGTCCACGATAGCCTTAAAAACGCATTCTAAAACATAAAGGAAATAAGGATTAAGAAGTAAACACCACAG